TATATAGAAAGTGATGGGTTGATCTATGCGTCATGAAATTGAACACTTAACGTTTCCTGGATGTTGAGTTAATAATGATGAGTTCGTTTAATATTTGTGTGGCGGTTGGTGGTTTTGAAGGCTATTTTGGAGGTTCTATCAATTTTTGTTTTTGGGTCTCCCGAAAGGGCCTAAATCACTTGTTGATTTTACATGTGGCCTAATATTTTAGTAGAATGTTGAGTTTCCATTTATACGTTATGGATTCGAAATTTCTCTTTTATATTATGTAATAATTTCGAACTATTCTCCCTCCTCTTAATAATAATAATAATAATAATAATAATAATAATAATAATAATAATAATAATAATAATAATAACTTTCTTTTAAAAAATGAGTTGATTTTCACACACCCTTTCTCACTTTTCCTTTTTTTATTAGTGGTCATCAAATTAAATAAATCAAGCAAAAACAATGGACAAGATTAGACACGGATGCGTGAGAGACTAAAAAATCTGTGTTTAGCATTTTCCTTGAGAAAAAATATGTAGCAAGAAGAATTAAACGATAATTTAAATAAAAATCATAGTCACAACCCGCATAAAGATTTTTCTTTCTCTCTCATCGTTTCTAATTTTCATATTAGCGAATAACAAGTCTTTTGATAGCAAGTCTGTTGTGGTAGTACCCAATCCAACAGGATCCTCTCCGGATCCTTTAAGTGAGGATCCTGAAAATGCATGAATCGTATCCGTTCATCGTACATTATGCAGTCAGTTTTTATCAGGTATTGTTTGTGTTTAATTTTGAATAAAAATATTTAAAATAATTTCTGACTACACGATGTATGATGAACGGACATGATTCACAGATCTCTGGGATCCTCACAAAGAGGATCCGGATTCATACCCATTCACTTGTTTCGCCTGGCATTCCTCATTCCAATTCTTCCTGCAAACACTTTCTCTAAATTTAATTGAACCCCCGATTTGAAGAATGTTGTTGTGATTTTCTCATATTCTTTTAGACTTTTTTTCAGATGACAACTTTTAATCGCTAATATGTGACTATTATACGTCATTATACATATATAGATCAATGGAAACTGATTCTTCTCCAAATCCGCCCATAAAGTGAACGGTTCTATGGCGGCGAAACTTCAATTTGTGGTAGTAATTATAATTTAGAGTTATGGTTCAGTTTAGGGTTTTGGTGATTTTGGCCTATAAGGGCTCAAATACCGGTAATGCTAGATTTTGGTGTTATGAGTTTTTTTAGCTGATTGTGCAGATTTCAACCACTTAAATTTAGTTCTTCTGAGTTGTTTTATGTAAGATTTGTGTATTTCACTCATTTTTACGTATTGTTGATTTTTTTAATGAATGTCATTGTTGCTTCAAAGAAGAAAAAAAGAACTTCTCAACCACATATTTCTCCTTCTAACGCTCAAAGAGGTTGGAATTTTTGTTCCCCGACTCCTATTAATAAAGAAAAACTACATTTTCTAAAAAGATGTCTAACGAATGTAAAATCATTATTGTAGATCTATACGTAATTTGTGTGGTTGTTTGTGAAGTGGATTTTGTGTATATATGATCTTGTGCCTATAAACTGTGTTCGTGTTGAACTTTATAACAATTTTGATCAAGACTTTTAAATTAATAGCCATGTCGACTGGTTTCTAAATTAACTAGTTGAATTATAGCGTCAGATTTTGAACTATATACGCAGGCCGCCCAAAAGGTCAAAGAGAACTTCAACCCCAATTCGCCAATGTTTTCTGTTGCATTGAAAAAAAAAAAATCCTTAATGGAATGGTTGAGAAGTCCTACCGTCCAGGACATTTGAAAGGGAAAGAAAATGTCAAATTTGGGGACAAAAATTTAAACTCATGATGTATATAAAGTATGTTAATAGAAGTCTTGTTCCGCCACTACATGTATAGTGTATGTTGAAATTATCGAAGATGATTAAGAGGAACTTAATGCCAGAGAAGGCTAATGTTTCATTTAGGAAAAAAAAAAATATTATGAGCAGGCAAAACATTATTTATACTACTAATAAATAAAATCCTTCCTAAAAATACGTCTTATAAAAACTAGGAAACAAAATAATAAAGGGATAACTTCAAATTACAATCCAAATCTAATTGGGAAATCGGCCTAGCTAACAATTAAACACGTTTCTGGACCTTTAGGGCTCCAAATCAGGCCCAAAATGATTTGAATTAAAGCTTAAGATGTCATCTCCAAGTTTGTAGAAGATCCCAACTCCAAAACCATCATATTCCAGCCCAAGAAACCGCAACTAAGCCATGCAACTCAGGGCCAGTTTGGGATTAAAGTGCTTTTTAAAAAACTGCTTCGACTGTTGACATACCCCGACCCAAAATGTCCACTAGGACTCCGAATCGAGCTATGTTGACCGACATTTGGAAGATGACGAAGCCATAAAGTGTAGTGATGTGAAAAATGTGAATAAATTTTAAACCTGAAAGTGCCTAAATATAAGAGTGCGTTGGTGAGCGGGAATGAACCCATTTCACACGTGATATTAGAGCATAAGTAAAGTATAGTAGAGTGGATTGAGAATTATACCCTTAGAGATAATCACTTATACTGAGATTAGTCAAGAGTCCTCGTCGATACGAAAGCTCAGCTACTAAAACTTGGAAGGGCCAAAAACAAGGGTGAGTAGGCCTAAAAATAAAGTTTTATAAAAACCTTTATGAAAACATTGTAACCCTTCGCTGTAAAACATATATAGTTTCCAAGATATACATACTATGTATCGTATGGAAATACTCACCCTAGCCTGCAAAATACCAAGATATCAATTCGGCACAATAGTTTATATATAAGTGCATGACGTCAGTAATTGTATATTTTCGCATAAGCAAACATATCAAATCAAGTGCTCATTGACACATGCTGACGCACGAGTTCATGCAGAGTTATTTTGACATGAACATGACTAGGTGTAATAATGATATACACTCTAGTGCTCACATACGAGTCAGAGTTACCTATTGCAACCTATACGACAAGACTGGCACCTGCTTGGATCCAAGGCGAGCGTACGGTGCGGATGTGAACATACACGTGAAAGACTAGCCTTGGTCTCAGTCGAGCACTAACACCAAATGCAGTAAACGATGAGTAAAACATAAATATAGTCATGCTATAGTGGTTCAATAGTTCTAATCAACATAATATCATTCATAGCGGTAGGTATAATCATAGCATCAATTAAATATGCATACCTGTGCATCCCGAATGATGTAGCATATTTAGTAATTTCCATCAACATGCTAAAACTTATAAGCATTCTGCTAAACTAGGCGTATTGTAGGGAACTCTTTATGACATGCATAAATGGAAGCTAACAGTTATACATATATATATATATATATATATATGTATATATATATATACATATACGGTAAAAAGGAAAAGACCTACTCATCTGAAGTCCGCGTTACAACTTCCTAGCATGAATATCGAGGCGTCACGAACGATCGTCGCCTAGAACAAATATCAAATCACGTCTCAGAATTCTTATCGATAGAATACATAACTTACATAAAACACATCCCTAAGGACATTCTAGAATGATTTGAAACCCATTGACCAAAAGTCAACCGTTGGTCGAATGTCGACTGTAGGGTCCACAACCCTATGTAACTCAATCCGGAAGATCCACACCTTAGATTTTCGATCTGTAACTTCCCAAGAGTTTCAATAAGCTTCTAAAATAACATCCTAAAGTTTCGGAATGATCCAACGGTCGGATCTCCACCAATCGCTAAAATTAAGTGGCGGCCTACAAACTTAGAAAACCCATCCGGGAAGATCCATATGTCAGATTCCTGATCCATTAGTTCCTAATATCCTTAAATATTATGTACTATTACATATTAAAGTTTGGTGACGATACAATGGTCGGATCATTGAATCATATAATAATAAAGTCGCGGCCCTTAACGGAAATATTACCAAACAACGGAATTTCGTCAATCAGATGTCTAATATGGAATTGGGGCACCCATTTTAGCCTAGAGAGGTCAAGTGGTGTTTCTGCCCACGTGCCACCGCACGCGGTGGCCGGCCGCCTCGACTCGCAAAAAAAAATCAACTATTTCCAAAAATTACCAAATTTCATAGAAATGAAGATCTCGATGAGTAGAGCAAGTTTTATACCTGTAGCCAAGTCCAATTTGGCCGGGAAAAGCTCTAATTTCCCTTGAACTCCCGGGAAACCCTAGAAATGGGTGGCTTTGATCTGTCACCTCCAGTGCTCCATCGCCCCTACAATTGTTTGGGCTTTGTTCCAGGCCTCAAGATGAGTGTTTTGGTGGTGGTAATTGAATGAAATCGTTTCACAAAAGGTGGATCTTGGGCAAGGTTTGCCCAGGCACCCACGATGGGTTTTTCACCATACTACAACTAAATTTCTTTTGATTTTGGGTGGAAATGGTAGAGGGGAGGTTAGGTAGGTGTTTGGTAGGGGTGGTAGGCCTTGAATCGCCGGAAAAATGGTGAAAGTTAGCCAGAATTACACCGGTCGAAACCTGGTCGGGTGTGTAGGTGTACGGGTCTGGTTTGGGTGCTCTGCACCTCCCTCATTTCCTTCTTTTCCGATTCATTCCTCACTTCCCTCTCTCGTCCTCATTGGCCGCCCATTTCCCCTCTTTTCTCTCCTGATTGGGCAAACCGTCCACCCTCATCTCTCTTTTCCTTCTTCATCTCACTCGCCCCTCACCCTCATTTTTAATATTAAAATAATAATATAATAACAAAATAATGTTAAAATAATAATATAATAATTATGAGAAATATGTAAAATAATAAATAGTAATCTTTACAAAAGTACTTTTCGGATTTGTTGTTTGGTAAAATTTTAACCGTAATATAAAGTTGGCGAGCGTTTGGTTAACTGAATTTTAAATGTTGTGACTATGAAAAGCAGCGTAAAAGTGTTTGGTAAAATTTCATATAAAAGTGACATATTTGTATACAATGACAAATGGACATAGTAGTAGGATTGAGGGCATTGACATCAGTGGTGGTAATGCTGGTGGTGGTTACAGTGGAGGTGTGGTGGTGGTGCTAATAGTGAGATGTGTTGATTGGGGTGGAGAGGTAACAATGGTGGTAGAGGAGTGGTAGCATCGGCAGTGGCAGTTGTGGTTGCGATGGCAGTGGCAACAATGATGGTGGCATTGGTAGTTGTGGTTGTGGTGATGGTGGTGGTGGTGGTTGTGGTAATGGTGGTGGGGATGGCATCGATAGTGGTAACAATGGTGGTAGTGGTGGTGGTGGTGGCAGTAACGATGATGGTGACACTAGTGGTAGTGATGACAGTGGTGGAGGTTGTGGTTATGGCGGTGGTGGTAGCAAATATGGTGGTTGTGTTGGCGGTGATGGTGTAAGGTTAGTATTTATAGTGATAGGTTGTAGCATTTACTTTATTCTCTAAGGGATAAAATGTGTGGAAGGCTAAATAATGTCATTTAAAAAAATTAATGAAGGTATTACAACAATCGAAAATATTTATTAAAGTCCCAACTCTGCTTTTTATTAAAGCAACTTTTAAAAGCAACCTACATGCTACTTTTAAAAGTTGTTGTCTGGAGCCCATTGCTTTTAAAATAAGCAGGATATTTTAGTTTTACCAAACACTTTTTTTACTACTTAACTTTAATGTGAAGCAATACCACATGGGGCCTTAATCTGCCAGCACCACGCTGGTCCCTTATTTATTTGCCATAAATCAACGGCTTGTCATAAAAACCTAAAATTTTGACACGAACAAGTTGAAAGACTTGCAAACACTCTTCAATTGGAATCATTCTAAAATTAATCCGTTTGATCACTTTTTACTCAAGACGAAGCCACAAATCCTACATTGGAAATATAAATTAAAGTATCAAAATCTCACAAAAATATACTAAGAATAGAGTAAAATATACAATATAAAATGGACTCATCACATGTAACTAATTTTTTTTGTGCTACCTTGATAGGAAATCGAACACTTACATCTATCTTAATCTCAATTCATTATCTCACAGCTTGAATTGCACGAGCTAGGTGCGATACTTTGAGTTGTGAGAAGATATATGCAAGCTTATGTTTTAACACTTTAACACGCTTGAAATAATTTCATGTTTTTTAGGACTGTGAAATTAATAAGTTTGTCATATTTATTTCGTATAATTTTCCTTACTAGCAAATAGATATTGGTAATACTTTTCTTCCCCATGTTAACAAGAAGTCCACAGTTTGAAATGCCCCAACATTCCATTGGTAAAAAATAAATTTCTTTTCCCTTGCTGAAATAGTGCTCTAATTAATCAGACGAGTTGGTTTACAAACGTCATAGCCGGCTGACCATTGACCCACAAAAGAGATGCGTTTTCAATTTTGGTACCCCAACAATAGCTGCGTTTTCAAATTTGTCTGTTGTTTGGGGTTAGACTTAGAGCCCTTGTAGTTGGAACTTTTGTAGTTTCAATTTCGGTTTTCTTCATCCACTCCTCCTTTTGACGGCAAATGGCAATGAGTTCACACACGTTTCATGTCTCATTTTGTGTGTTATATTTGGCTTTCACGTGCACATAGTCACTAGAGAGGAAATAAAGAAACATGTGAACAAGAAATTGGTCTGTGATATCAATATCCAAAGCATTCAATTTGTTTGACATATTGACGAGGTTGAGTAGGTGCACCCTTATACTGCTAGTACCATCGTGATTTTTATTTGAATCTTCCGTACCAATACTCCGAATGTATCAATGCCATGCTGCTCAATAGTCCACCTACTAAGTAGGATTCCGCTTTCTAGTTGTATATGCGGCTAGAATTCTCTGTATCCACCCGGAAAATGGTGATTTCTCTATTCAAAACCAATTTTTTCAAGCGGGAGGACCCCCTTTTGCTTATTCCAGCTGAGGATCTGGATTTGCTACTTCATGTAGCTCTCGAGAGCATGGAATTCGACTAGAAAGTGCTTTCCGAGATTTAGTACTAACGGAGGTTGAGAGATAAGAACCAGTTTTAGCTAGCCTTTGATACAGTTTGGTTTGGTACTTTATTAAACTGGAATTGAAATTGAAACCAAAAAATTTTTTGGTACGGTTCGATTTGGTATCATAGGGTGTACAAAATTTATAACGACCCTTATGGGTTAGTTTTGGTTCGGTATAAAAGGGTCGTATTTCAGTTTTGGGCTTCAGTTATAAGCCCCCTTTATATGTTTTTTTGTGTGATTAAAATAGGTCCTTTTCGATTTTGGGTTAAACAGGTTTTGATTGAACCGAAATCCCATGTTGCTAATGATTAAAATACGGCCAACCATGGTCAAATGAAATGTCTTATGGGTTCCGCATTAGTAAAAACCCAAATGAAAAAGCAGAGTTCAAGTTACCGTGAGATTTTTGTTCTTTTTCCATTGCAACCACATCCACCACACACAGTACACAGCAAGTTGGGAACCAGTACCATACACGCAAATAATCCGCAAACTGAAAATACTCACTGCCCATGTAATCTCCAAATTGAAACCACAATTCTTATTGAATCACACACGCTGCCCAATTTTATATAAAGGGAAAATTTGAAATAAGTCTAATTTTATAGACTACCTTTTGAAATATATCCAATTTTTAGTGATTTTTGACTTTTGAAATAGGTCCAATTTTTAATTACTTTGGACCTATTTCAAAAAACCCCTTTTATAAAACCACACACACACTGCCCAACTTGCATAAAAATCCTAATCCAATCAGCCATTACAAAATAATTCACAGAAGAAAGCAAAAGTTATTGGGCAATTTTATAAATCATTAACAGAATAAAAATCCTAATTGCATAAAAATTCCCAATTTTATAAATCACACACACTGCCCAATTTTATAAACCATAGAAGCCATTCACAAGCCAAATTCTGGGCTAAATTCCTCAAATCAACTTGTGTATATATTAAAGTTTGTCGAATGCCCAATTTCTAGGGTTCGAAAACGAGACAAACAAAGCAATTGAAGAGAAAGACCATAAATTGAGAGAGATAAAATGCAAAAAAACTTGAAGAGATTGAAAAGAGCGACTACCATTATGATTAAAGTGGCAGCGAGTTCAACTGAAGTGGAATCTGATGAGGTGAGCAGCACTGAAGCCAATGTTCTAAAAGGGGTTAGGCATTAGTCAGGATGCGGTCAGAGGATTAGGGCCTAGGAGGTTTTATTTATTTAATTTTTAAATTAGTTGAATTTATTATAAAACATAAATAAATGTCTACTTATACTTAAAAATTACATAATTATATTGGGTTACATAAATTGCAAATTAGAACGACATATAAATTATAAAGTATTAGAACATATTGAAAATATTGGGAACAAACATATAATTAGTGTTCATCCAAGTATCCAACAAGTCTATAAAAATTTATTGAAAAAATAAAATGTAAAATGGAAGTTGTCTTTCTCTGCCTATGTGAAAGTCATGGCCTAGGTTGGTGCCTAGGTAGGTATAGGAAATCTTTCTTATTTTTAAAACACCTAGGGATTAGTCGTGTCAGTGGCGAATAGTCTAGTGCTTGGGCTAGGATAGGGCTTTTTAGAACACTGGCTATAGCAGACGACGAGGTTGAGATTGGATCGGGGTTGAGAATGGACGAACAACGTTGGAGAAGAATGTCGGGGTTGAGAATGGAGGAATAAGGTTGGAGAAGAAGATGGTGGGGTTGAGATTGGAGGGAGGTTGTTTGTCTGCTTAAGGAGGAGAATGAGGGATGAAAGCCTCGATCGAGACTCAAGAAACGAAGAGTGAGACTAGAGAAAATGATGGTTGATGGTGAAGGAATGACGGTTGGTGGAGATTGGGAGACGATGGAGGAATGAGGTTGGAGGAGGAGGAGGTGGATGGCAAGTTCGAGGTGAGAGGCTGGGGTTTGAGTTTGAAGTTGGGATCAGATGAGTGAGATCAAGCTGAAACTCGAGAGTGAGAGAAAGAGAATAGATCGATGATCAGGTGTGGCAGCTAGAGCCCATGACAATTGTATGGACTTAGCTACCACCTAACTAAACCCAGTCACGTGGTAAAAGGATTTTTTTTTTTAAAAAAAAAAACTCTGTTTGGTTCAATTCAGATATATAAAGAACTGGTACTGAACCAAGATTTTTTATACCGGTTTTGTTTTGTACCAAAACCGAAAAAAGTAAAATAAAATCAATCCAACCGGTTTTTTTTCTTTCAATTTAGTTAGGGTTTGGTTTTGATTCTTGATCCATTATGCCCATGCCTAGTTTCAGCCTTGTCAGACTTTTTGAATTTCTCCTATATCTTGGCCATATACTTTTTTGCCAAATCACATGTTGGAATACCTCCCTTATATGTTCTTCTATGACATTTTGCATAATGAGAAGTGACATTTGGTTTGCCTTTTCCCATTTAGAAAAATTCTCTTCATGTAGAATGGTGCTTGCTTCAGTTAGAGTAGTTAGTGGAGTAACTTGAAAGCAATGTCAAACACCAACATCTCCAAATGCATCTTGATCTTCAACTTTCAAGTTTTGAAGTTGTTTCCATTCAATTTCTTAATGTTGATGAGTCTCAACCTATTGAAATCTACATAATTATTTCAAAATGATTTAATGTTGATCGAGTTTTGAGCTCCCATTGTCCCACATCGGGAAACAACCATTTGTCAAAGGCCTTTATATAGGTCAAGTCATTTCTATTAGTGATTAGGTGTTGGACCATTTGGAATGAGGATTGAGGTTTGGGCCACTAATTGTGTGGATTAGGCTTAATGATTATACCATAATATTAATATAAATTAATATTAATTAATCAAGACAAGGGCCTTGGGGCCAAGGAATTAAAATTAATCTGATCAATTAGTTTTAATTTCGAATTAAGTTTTTAATTAAATTAATTAAAAACGTTTTGATTAATAGATACAACTCTTTCCAAAGAGTTGTATAGCTTCAGATATATCCAAAAGGTATTTGAAGAGGTATGAAACAGCCTATATAACTGGAGTCCTCAGTTCCATCGAAAATCATCTTTTTTCCTTTCCTTCTCTTCCGTACAAACATTCAAGAGAGTAAACACACAAAGTAATTCACTAGAATTCTAGAATTCACTACGGGTTGTAGAATTAGGTAGTTTAATCCTAGTCGAGCAGACATTGTAGAACCACAAGCACAAAAGTGTGACGGAAATACTCTTCGAAGGACATAGCTTTTACGCTAGCCTCTACCTTCTGTAATCAAGTTAGTATCATTGATATTCTTATATTAATTTTTGTATTTATTGTGTAATTTCATTTTGCACAACAAGTATTTTTGGTAAATAAAATATTAGAATTTCAAGTTCTGTTTATTTCTGAATTATTCTCCAACAATCTTCGAACAATATGGAACAATCAGGAACTAAACCTCATTCTGAGAAACATGAGAAATTTAAGGGCGAAGACTTCAAAAGGTGGCAGCAGAAGATGCTGTTTTATTTGACAACACTGAATTTGGTTAATGTTCTGCGCTCAATGCATTAGATGACTCTTTGTATGATGTCTATGTGGTGTGCAAAATAGCCAAGGAACTTTGGGAATCACAAATATAAAACAAAGGATGCTGGTTCAAAAAAATTTGTCGTGGGCAAATTTTTGGACTACAAAATGATGGATTCCAAGTCCGTTGTCTCTTAAACTAAAGATCTCTAGAAAATCATGCATGACATTCATGTTGAAGGGATGGTAATCAATGAGTCTTTCCAAGTGGCGTCCTTTATAGAAAAACTGCCACCTTCTTGGAAAGAGTTCAAGAATTATCTCAAGCACAAACGTAAAGAGATGACCCTTGAAGATCTCATTGTTAGGCTGAGAATTGAGGAAGATAACAGAAAGAATGAGAAGGGCTTGGTTTCGAGTATGGAAGCTAAGGCGAATGTTGTTGAAGGAAGTTCATCAAAGCAAAGGCTGAAATTCCAGAAAACCAAGAAGAAGGAAAAGAACCATGCCCCTGGAGTGAAAGGTAAAGACTTCAAGAAAATCAAGGGAAGTTGCTAGGTTTGTGGAAACCAAGGCCATAGGGCTCAAGAATGTCGTCATCGAAGGGATCAAGGACCTGGAGGTCAAGGCAACAACAAATGCGCAAACCTGATTGAAAACAATGTGGATACCCTGGCTGCTATGATTTCTGAAATCAATCTAGTATCTGACCACGTTGATTGGTGGATAGATAATGGTGCAACTCGCCATGTATGTGGTGATAGAAATATGTTCTCTTCGTACCAGAAAATCGAGGGAAATGAGCAGCTGTTTATGGGAAATGCATCTGCATCTGTTGTGGCTGGAATAGGGAAATGTGTTCTTAAATTCACTTCTCGAAAAGAATTAACCCTCCTTAATGTGCTACATGTCCCCGATATAAGGAATAATCTTGTTACTGGTCCTATCCTTAGTAATAAGGAATTCAAACTAGTTTTTAGTCTAATAAATTTGTATTAACTAAAGGGGGAATGTTTGTAGGGAAGGGTTACCTTGCTGATGGATTATTCAAACTAAATGTACTTGTTAATGCTATGAATGAAATAAATAATGCTTCCGCTTATATTGTTGATTCGTCTAATTTATGGCACTCTAGGTTAGGACATGTAATGTCACATCCCGACATGTGATAAGCTTATATTTATATATATTTTATATCAAATTCACTTGTCTTTTCTTAGTTAGTTCCTTATATTTTTGAGTTATTTACTTTATTTTTGTGTTTTTTAGGATTTGTCAAGTAAAGAAAAGAAAAATAACACAAGTGAGATTTTAAGTAACAAATTCGTCAAAACTGCTTTGCAGATCAGCTGACTTTGGAAGCAAGTTGCGGACAGCTCAGAATGAATTAGAGAATGAACCTTATATGCTTGGAAAGCTACAGATGTCTATTTTTTGGAGTATTTCGCAGATTGTTAATATCATTTTTCTAGAAGAAGTTATGGCTATTTTAACACTGAAAGGTTCTCAAGAGGCTGAGCAGTTTGTAACTGACAAGAAAGCATTGAAAGCAATAAATCCAATAAATCTAGCAGCCAAAATTGATGTAGTCAAGAATAAACCAGCTGACACCTATTCAAATATCAGAGTAAATGAAATTAAAGATGAGGATTAAGAGGGAGTAATTGACATAAAGGCTACCTAAGGAGTTACAATTGTTTTACCATTTCCTCTCAATTATTGTCATCACTAAATGGCTATTAGTGAGTGAGTTAAGGAGAAGAAAATGATGTAGCAAGAATTGGTTTAAAAGTAATGTTGGGGAAGGAAGGAAAGGAGAGTCTTAGTCGATTTCTTTCGGTTCTATTTTCTCAAACTCATGTCTATCTTTTGTTTTAACTTAAGGATTGTGTAACTAAATTTTTAGTAGTTAGGGGCTGTTTGAAGCCCCGAATATGATTGCAAGTTTGTCATGACATTTCGTTTGAATTACTTTTATGATTGGATGAAAATTGGTTCACTACTTGTCTCATTGATGAATTCTTTATGTGTTTTCTACGGATGCATACTTAGTAAGCATATCTAGGATTCTAATGCTATGAATATATGTGTGCCTACCCTTGTCGAATGAGGACCTACATATGTTCTAGAGTAGTACTTGTTAATTGCGATTAACATGTGAATCAATTTCTAGGATAAGTAAGACAACGCCAGTACTTACGATGGCTTGTGATGACTCAAACTCTTTTCGTTCTTAATGATTTCTACTTGTTAAATCTATGAACATGCCATTCTAGATTGCATGCTAGGGACTAAGTTAAGTTGAAAACGCCATTCTCTTAACATACTACATAAGAAAGAGTAATAGGTTGAGTTTTAACATTGAGCCAACTTGAGCATCTTCATCCGGAAATAAAAGGAATTTGAATGAAACATAACATGTTTGCATGATTATTTGGTGGTAGATAACAATTCCCCTAACTCGTTTTTCTTAATTTGTGAACTACTTAAAAATCTGTTTTTGTCCTGTTTTTGTTTGATTTAATTTAAATAGAAAATCAACTCCAAAAATCCCAAAAATTTGTGTGAGTGTAGCTCTGTATGTCTAGTATCTGCATATAAAATTTCATAGACTTTAGATAAGTGTAAGTCGGTCTAATAATTATTTTTCGGTGGCTGGTCAGTAGGGACAGTAACCCAGTTCTTGTGACATTTTAAGTAGTTGGATAAAACAATCTTCTGCGGGAAAGACCTTTACTTTCATATGCTACAATTGACAAATCTTAGTGTTAATAAGGAAAATCAATAGGACATTTGTGTACTACTTTGTGGTGTGCTTTTAATCTGATCAACCTGGGCCCCCACCACATCCCGAACTCGACTTCACCGTAGCACGATATTGTCCGCTTTGGGCCTCAACCACGCCTTCACAGTTTTGTTTTTGGGAACGCACACGAGAACTTCCCAATGGATCACCCATCATGGGATTGCTCTTGGGTGAACTCGCTTAACTTTGAAGTTCCTACGGAACCCGAAGCCAGTGAACTCCCAAAAGGCCTCGTGCTAGGTAGAGATGAGAATATACATATAAGGTTTACAGGATTCATTCCCCTGGGCGATGTGGGATGTTACAATCCACCCCCCCTTAAGGGCCCGATGTCCTCGTTGGCACACTTCCGGCCAGGAATTGGCTCTGATACCAAATTGTCACATCCCGGGCTTGACTCCGCCATAGCACGATATTGTTCGCTTTAGACCCCGACCACGCCCTCACGGTTTTGTTTTTAGGAACTCACACGAGAACTTCCTAGTGGGTCACCCATCATGGGATTGCTCTCTCGCGAATTCGCTTAACTTTGGAGTTCTTACGGAACCTGAAGCCAGTGAGCTCTCAAAAGGCCTTGTGCTAGGTAGAGATGAGAATATACATATAAGGCTTACAAGATCCTCCTCCCCTGGGCGATGTGGGATGTTACATGTAAATTTTCGTTCCTTTTTTAGAATGCATAATGTAGGTTTGCTACACAAACTTGATTATTTAGATAATATTAAATGTGAGACTTGTACAGAATCGAAATTTGCTAATTAAAGTTTTAAATCGGTGCATGAAAAATCCAATGATTTATTAGATTTAATTCATAGTGACTTATGTGATTTTAGATCATATCCAACTCGTGGTGGAAAAAACTATTATGTAACATTTATAAATGATTTCAGTAAGTATTGTTATGTTTATTTACTTCATAGTAAAGATGAGACCTTGGATATGTTTAAGACATATAAGGCAGAAGTTGAGAATCAACTTAACAAGAAGATTAAAATCTTAAGGTCCGATAGGGGAGGAGAATATGAGTCTTATGCCTTTGCTAAATTTTGTGCCACACATGGCATAATTCATCAAACAACAGCCCCTTATACACCGCAACAAAACGGTATTGCCGAACGGAAGAATAGGACTTTTAAAGACATGATCAATTCTATGTTGAATAGCTCTGGGCTTCCACACAATTTGTGGGGTGAAGCTTTACTTACTGCAAATAAAATTTTGAATCGAATTCCACCTAAAACGAGAAAAGAGTCACCATATGAATTATGGAAGGGAAGAACCCCAACGTTTAAATTGTTTAAAGTGTGGGGTTGCATGGCAAAAGTACAAATCCCATTACCAAAGAGAACAAAATTAGGGCCTCAAACTATAGATTGTGTTTTTATTGGTTTTGCATCTAATAATTTAGCTTATAGAATCTTAGTTTTCCATTCTGAAGTAAGTGATATACATGTCAATACTATTATAGAATCTATAAATGCAATATTTTTTGAGGATATATTTCCATACAAAATGGGCAAGTCTAACTTTTTGAGAAAGAGATTACATGATGATGTATATGAGGTTAATAATGAACCTAGAGAACATGATGGTGGTTCATCCTCATCTAGAGTTCAAGAAGAAGAAGAAGAACTTGAACCTAGAAGGAGTAAAAGGACAAAAATTCAAAAGCATTTTGGGCCTGATTTTGTGACCTTATTAGCTGAAACCGAACCTCAATCATTCAAGGAGGCCATTTCCACTCTTGAAGCTCCATTTTGGAAGGATGCAGTTAACAGTGAGATAGATTGCATTATGCAAAATCATACATAGGAATTAGTCAATTTGCCCCTTGGCAATAAGCCAATTGGGTACAAATGGATCTTTAAGAAGAAATTGAAACATGATGGTACGATTGATAAATATAAGGCTCGTTTGGTAGCTAAAGGATACCGTAAAAAACATGGTTTGAATTTCTTTGATATATACTTACCTGTAATGAGAATTACGTCAATAAAACTGTTGATTGCTATGGTTGCACTCCATAACATGGAAATACATCAAATGGATGTAAAGACTGCGTTCTTAAATGGAGACTTAGATGAGGAAATATATATGGAACAACCCGAGGGGTTTGTAGTTAAAGGTCAAGAACACAAAGTTTGTAAACTTGTGAAATCGCTATATGGGCTTAAACAAGCTCCAAAATAATGGCATGAAAAATTTGACCATATCATGATCACTTATGGTTTTAAGATAAATGAGTGTGATAAGTGTGTCTACACAAAAACTCAAAATAATGTTTGTGTTATGTTGTGTTTATATGTAGATGATATGCTTATAATAGGAACTAACATAGAGATAATAAATTGGACCAAGAAGATATTGAAATCAAGTTTTGATATGAAAGATCTTGGACTAGGTGATGTGATTCTTGGTGTAAAAATAAAAAGAAACTAAGAAGAATATATTCTTACACAGTCCGATTATATAGAAGCTACACTTAGAAAATATGGTCATTTGGAAAGTAAAGATGCAATTACTCCTTTTGATGCTAATAGCAAACTTCAGAAAAATATAGGAGATGTTGTATCTCAACGTGAATACTCACAAGTTATTGGAAGCCTTATGTACATTATGAACTGTACAAGGCCTGATATAGCATACTCAGTGAGTAGACTGAGTAGATATACATACAATCCTGGGCATGATCATTGGGAAGCTTTAATTCGAGTATTAAAATACCTAAAGCATACAATGAATTATGGATTGCATTATATCAGGTATCCTTTTGTGCTTGAAGAATTTACTGATGCGAATTGGATATCAGATAGTAATGATACAAAATCCACAAGTGGATATATATTTACTTTGGGAGGAGCAGCAATATCTTAGAAATCTTCCAAACAAACATGCATAGCCCAATCAACTATGGAATCGGAATTTATGGCTCTTAATATGGCTGGAGGAGAAGCTAAGTGGCTAAGAGATTTTTTTGGAAGATGTTCCCATATGGCCTAAACCTGTAATGGCAATATGTATACATCGTGATAATTTAGCTGTCAATATTGAGCTAAAAATAGTCTATACAATTGGAAGTCTAGACAAATTAGACGAAGGCATAATACAATAAAGTAATGACTCTCTAGTGGTGTAATTACTATCACTACTACAAAATTATCTATTTCTGGCAGTCTAAAAACCGACAAGAAACATATATTACTGTCGGATATTATGCAAAATCACACAGAAAATGGATGCAGTGGCGGATATAATAAGCGATAGATTTGCCAGCGTCAAGAAATAAGTTTTCTGACAGAAAATATTCTAATACCGACAGAACTTGTGTCGGATATAACCGATAGAAAATATATTAATAATGAATAAATAAAAGCATTTTCTATCGGATAAAACCGATAGAAAATACTCTAAAACCGACAGAAAATACATATAACCGACAGAAATTGTGTCGGCTATAACCAACCGAAAATATTAATAATGAATAAGTAAAGTATTCTTTGTCGGATAAAACCGACAGAAAATATATTAATAATAAAAAAAATAAAAAGGATATGAGAGCATTCTCCCTTTTTCTCGTTGAGCATTCTTCTTCCCATCTGGCAATTACCTATATTACTCGCTGGCGGGTCACATCACGATTACTTTCTAAATAAGCCAGGATGACAACAGCAGCTGCAACAGTTGAAGGCCAGTAACGAAGTTGGCCGTGGTCCTGCATCTGCAGCACTGCCAGGTACCTGGCAGGGAAACGGAAAACACATAAATATAACAAAATTCAATACCAGGACTGAGACTTATCACACCAAAGAAAATATCAACCAAACCCACATAAATAGAAAACATCGAATTTTTGCCCCCACCTTCACAAAACCCTCAAAAGGCACCACTCAAAAAATAAAAAATTCATGATGATTTCTAGAATCAGACCTCAAACAATCAGTACAACAATCAAACGATCTTACCTCCAAATACTTTTCAAGTCCTCCTTGGTTAAGATTCATCTCGAAAAGCTTCAGGCCTTACATCTAAACCAAACACGGGACTATCTCAAACAAAATTAGAACGCAAAGTACAATCAAAATCCTTAAAATTAGTTTACCCAACCCTAAATCTAATAATTTTAAGAAATACTATAGCACCAATTGAGAGAGGAATTGCGATAATACCTAAAGATCGGAGAGAGAGAGAGATGAAAGTAAGAGCGTTTCTCTGCTGGGGGTTCCGAAAGAGAATTACAGGAAAAACTGATGAATTTATGCTTCAGAAACATGAATTAAAGATGACAATTAGAAGGGGAAGAAAAAAAACCTGAGGTCTGGCTGTCGCTGTGGCTGTGCCTCTGCTTGTTGATGCTTCGAACTGGAAGTAAACGAGGAGAGAAGAGAAGGAGAAGGAAATGAGGAGAGGAGAAAAGGGGGAAGGGAGAATCACTGGCGCAATGAATGGAGGGTATTATTTTGGAAAATTTTTATTACTGTCGGTTAAAACTTACAGAAACATTTTTTTAAATAAAAATCGATTCATTATTGTCGGTTATAATCGACAGAAACAAAATGGTGGCAAAAATCCCCCAAAATTTTGTTACAATTTTAAAAAATAAAATATTAATTGTTTGGTTTAATAGATAATAATTCATGTAATATATGCGATAAAGAAACAAAAAGAGAATTGTACAATGAAAATGTCATCACACAAACTAAATATTGTCTAATCAATACTTGAAAAACATAAATAAAAATTTATCACAAATTACTTTTCCCACTTCAAAATTTAGGCAAATTTAACGGAGATATGCATTCTACGAAACTAGTTTCCATGATCTAACCGTCAAACTTGTTTGTAGATACTACAAAATCGCATACGTAAAAAATCGTAAAAAACAAACATTCAGAGATGACGTAACAGAACAAAAGTTTTCGATGGTTATAAATGAAAATTCACAATTTAACGGTTATTTTAGCTCTGACTTTAATGAATTTTTACAGCTACACTCCTCAACCTTATAAGAATGTAATGAATAAATTGATCTTCAATTTAAAATATTTACACTAGTGGATACCACAAAATCTTATTTTATATTTAATGGAAGTATAACATTAACTCTAAGTGTTTGTTTAATCTACTGTTTTGATACGATACGCATTCTACGAAGCGTTTTTCAACGATCCAACCGTCAAACTTGTTTGTACACACTCCGAGATCGCATATGTAAAAAATCACAAAAAACAAATATTAAGAGATTAGGTAACAAAACAAAAGTTTTCGACGGTTATAAATGAAAATTCACAATTTAACGGTTACTTTAGCTCCGATTTTGATGATTTTTTATAGCTACACTCCTCGACCCTATAAGAATGCATTGAACAAATTCGATCTTCAATTTAAAATATTTACACTAATGGATAAATCTTATTTTATACTTAATGGAAGTATAACATTAACTCTAAGTGTTTGTTTAATCTACCATTTGATGTGATACGCATTCTACGAAGCGTTTTTCAAAGATCCAACCGTCAAACTTGTTTGTACACACTCTGAGATCGCATACGTAAAAAATCACAAAAAACAAACATTAAGAGATTAGGTAACAAAACAAAAGTTTTCGATGGTTATAAACGAAAAATCACAATTTAACGGTTATTTTTGCTTCGATTTTGATGATTTTTTGCAGCTACACTCCTCGATCCTATAAGAATGCAATGAATGAATTCGATCTTCGATTTAAAATATTTACACTAGTGGATAAATCTTATTTTGTACTTAATGGAAGTATAACATTAACTCTTAAGTGTTTGTTAAATCTATCAATTTGATAGGATATGCATTCTATGAAACTAGTTTCAATGATCCAACCGTCAAATATGTTTATATACTCCGAGATAGCATGTGTACAAAATCGCAAAAAAAAGAAAAAAAAAATTTAAAACATGTGTTTATTTATTTATTTATAATCAATATAACATTTTAAAATAATAAAATCGTACATGATAGAGTATACTAGATGTTCATATGTGTTTATGTGCCAGACAATGTGCTTTGTGAAACATTGAAAAGAAATTGTTTGAATTTCTTTGTATCTTGTTGCTTGCCTGTGAGGGAGTATAATCCTTATTACAAAAATGATAGAGCTTCATATTGTAGTCTGTTGTTATTTTTCTCTTAGAAAATTTATGGCTTGTGAGAATTGGGTTTATTAGACTTTAGGGTCATGAGTGAAAAAAACAATATTTAAAATATGAGTTTATTTATTTATTTTTAATTAATATAACATTTTAAAATAATAAAATTTTCATTTGTGTCAGTTATAACCGCCAGAATACTAAAATAATAACCGTCAAAAAATAAAATAATAAAATAGTCAATTTCTGTCGGTTATAACCGCCACCATTAACTTAAAAACTGCCAGAATTTGTCAAAAATATTAAAAACAAAAGATTCAAAAATACTGTCGGATATAACCGACAATATTTTTTTGATATCCGTCACTAAATATCTGCCAGGAATTTATGTCGGATATAACTGACATGATTTTTCTAATATCCGCCATTAATTAAATGATGTGTCGGATATAATTTATCCGACAATATTTTTCTAATATTCGCCACCATCATCCGCCACCTAAAGCTAATATTGTAGTAGTGTATTGACTATGTCAAGTCAAAAGATAATATTGCGGACCCACTTACTAAAGGTTTATCTAGAGAGCAAGTCAAGCATACATTGAGGGGAATAGGTTTAAAGCCAATAGAGTAAAATGAAACTGCCAAATGGAAACCTAACCTAGTTGCTTGGAGATTTCATGGTATAGGTTCAATAGGCAAACTGGTTTGGTTAGTTTCAAAGAAGAAACACACTTACATACCCATTCCTATGATAAAATAAGTGTGGTGACTACTGATAGGTGTAGGATACATTAGTTTAATGATATTGATACTTGTAAATCAAGTGAAATAGTAGCAACCTATTCTTAATCAATATCACCTATATGAGAGTAAATGTGGGGTCGCATTTATGAGAATTACATGGCTATATTCTCTAAAGCTCTCATGAATCCAGGATTTGTTCAGGACCAAAATGAACACAAACATATGAATTTGCAATGTGTTGGTGTGACATATATTTTGCTTATTGTCTTGGTTTACTGCGAAGATGAACTGTTCAAGATTTTATAGTCACTACGTCATCTATTAAATCCGATAAGTATATACTAAGATAGGTTCAAGTCCAAAAGACACCTCTCCTGATGTGTGTCACATCTATTGTTTACTCTTATTTTCACCTTACCCTAGGACCTAATAGTCGGCTCAAAATGTGGGGTATTGATGGAGTTTTGAGCTCCCATTGTCCCACATCGGGAAACAACCATTTGTCAAGGGCCTTTATACAGGTCAAGTCATTTCTATTAGTGATTAGGTGTTAGACCATTTGGAATGAGGATTGAGGTTTGAGCCACTAATTATGTGGATTAGGCTTAATGATTATACCATAATATTAATATAAATTAATATTAATTAATCAAGACAAGGGCCTTGGGCCTTGGGGCATTTGGGGACAAGGAATTAAAATTAATCTGATCAATTAGTTTGAATTTCGAATTAAGTTCTTAATTAAATTAATTAAAAACGTTTTGATTAATAGATACAACTCTTTGGAAAGAGTTGTATAGCTTCAGATACATCCAAAAGGTATTTGAAGAGGTATGAAATAGCCTATATAACTGGAGTCCTTAGTTCCATCGAAAATCATCTTTTTTCCTTTCCTTCTCTTCTATACAAACATTCAAGAAAGTACACTCACAAAGCAATTCGCTAGAATTCTAGAATCCACTGCAGGTCGTATAATTAGGTAGTTGAATCCTGGTCGAGCAGACATTGTAGAACCACAAGCACAAGAGTGGGACGGAAATACTGTTCGAAGGACATAGTTTTTACGCTAACCTCTACCTTCTGTAATCAAGTTAGTATCATTGATATTCTTATATTAATTTATGTATTTATTGTGTAATTTCATTCTGCACAACAAGTATTTTTGAAATTTTGATAAATAAAATATTAGAATTTCAAGTTATATTTATTTCTGTTATTTTTGTTTATTTTTGAATTGTTCTCCAACCTAACCTATTGAAATTTACATAATTATTTCAAAATGATTTAAAAGTTCATAAGTCATGGGTGACATTTTGTCCCACTAAATTGTCTATATACAAAAGATATTTCAAATCTTGCGTAGTCAAATACAAAACATAATAATTTATGTAAATACGACTGTCATCTCAGGTAGGGGGAACGAGCCGAGGTCTGTCAAGAACCCTATGGCTTCCACGACGGTGTAGAAATCAATGTCTACGAGTCACGAGAAAGGGATGAGGTATGCAACTGCTGGTGCAGCGTCATAGAAGGGGGAAGATGACTCGTGACTAAGAAACACATCGAACGTCGATGATGACATAGATTAGGCGTCAGACAGTCGATGAAATCACGATAGGTGTCCAAAGAAACCTATAAGAGTCGATAGGGATTTCTTAATATCATCGATTCAATTGGAATCTCGTTATGCAGTCGTCGAGGGCGACCGATTCCGTTCCTGGAAGACTTCAGGTCGCTGGAGAATAATGGATCTGGCGGGGAAGTCACACAGAGGTGATGAGTGGACAGAGAGATCGAGGTTGGAGAATCGACATAAAAGAAATGTAGTTTTCGATCTCTGCTGGGTTTGGACAATGGCTCTGCTCGGCTTAGTCGGTGCAATGCGGCTCAGCGGTTTTAGGCCGCGGCTCACGCGCATCTAGGGTTTTATAATATGACTGTAACAATTGAAAACAATAATTCAAGCCGAATTTATAATTCAAAAACATAACGTTAGAGTTCATGCTTTATGGTGAATGTTTCATGCAATCAAGGTCAATAAATGTGCTTTAAAAGGTACTTAGGTTGCTTGATGAATATTGTGAACGGATTTATAGAAGTTTATCCTCCAATGCCGAATTTCCATCTGCAATGCGTTGTATCATGTTCAATATAAAATAAAAAGGAGAATTGAATCAATAGAAAGGAGATTATTTCCATAAAGTAAAAAGTTAATCATTAAAGGGTTTTACTACAAATGGTCCCTAAAATTGACCCATCCTATCAAGATGGTCATTGAAATTGAAAATTGAATCAATGTAGTCCTTGAAAATGGGTGTTGCAAACCAATGTTGTCTTTTCATCACAATTTGGTCAAAAATTTTGTTATGTGCTGATGTGGCATATAATTGAGTCTCACAAATCAAATTAAATATTGCCATGTTGAGTAAAATAATTGTTTTACAAAAATATTTAAAAAATAGAAAAAACAATTTTTTTTCGTATAATTAAAATCTTAAATAAAAAAGAAAAAAAGAAGTGTAGACATCGAAATTTCAGTGAAATAAATGTTAACCAATGTATTAAAATTACAACATTTATTTATTTCACCTACA